TAAAGCAGGCATTGAACTGAATCATTTAAGGACTTGCTCATTTAAACTGGCATTAACATTCCTGTTGTTCCGTCAGGCAGACGTATTTGGTGTGCAACCACAGAGAAATCCCCGGCAGATTCTCTACTGTCCTAAATCACCCACTAGCATGGAGATTAGCGAAATTAGTATGTAAAGGTAAATACTGTGCTGAGAATAGAACTATAATTCTTTTGGAATGAGGCTGAAGATTATTTTCTTTGGAGTTAATTTTGTTTTTCTAACTGGCATGGAAATGAATTGCTTGAAAGAGATGAGGTTTATTTAATTGCAGAACAGGTGCATCTAAAGCTCCAAAATACGAGTTCCTCAACATGAAACCAGTGTCTTTAAGCAGCTTTGAAGGGATGATAACTGCTGAGATGATAGCTTTTGTTTTTTCATTTTCAGTCAGTTCTTTGTATAATTGCTGAGAAAGTATCCAAAGATTTTAATGATGATTTTTAAAGGAGAAGCTCTAATTTACGAGGCGCTTATAGCCCTCATTCACTGCCACTGATTCAGGCCTTTAAATGCATTTAGGCGTCTTCTCACTGCTTGAGGAACCAACTAAGCACCTACAGATCTGCACGTTCCCATAGCCTGGGCCTGTGCTGCTGAGCACGTGCAAAGCTGCTGACCTGATTCTTTACATAGAATCCAGCTGAAAGCCTGGAAGGCCATGATGTATCATGCCCCCAGAGGGGATGTCCTCGACTGACTGGTTGGTCCAAGTACTTCAGCATTCTGGAGAGACTTGTGTGTGTCTGTCTGCATCTCACTTCAGAGTATTTTTACTGGTAGGGCAATATTTGGGCTGACCAGAAGATCTGGAACTCGGTCTCCACTTCATGCCGGTGACTGTGCAAGTAATTAGATCACTCAGTGGGGAGGGTTTTCCCTTTAGAAATTAGAAACTGACACCAAGTCCCTGCTTTGTCAGATGAATCTTAAAATGAAACATCTGTGAGAGCAAAACCAGGCAGACCTATCCATGACAGAGAGTTTCCCGCACTGTTGGTCAGGATGTACTTGTCTCCAAGGCCACCAGGGACTGAGATCTGAGCCCAGGACTGAAGTACTCCAGGGGAGCATGTTAAGGAGGAAACTTGGGGCTATGTGCCATTGACATGCATTCTCGCTCTGACCAGCCATACCCAACTCCAGATACATGGAACAAGCTCCCTTAGGAAAAGGAGGCAATTCCTTGGATGGAAATCCATGTTATGATTTCTGTCGTGTGGGAGGATTCCCAGGTTTTATACAGTGAGGTAACGGTACGTATGTTTGAGGATCTTGGGACAGATCAATGCTGGGAATTAGGCCTGGATTGCCTGTTAAGATTCTGCAGCTTTCGAGCAGATGCTGTGCTCTGCTAGGGGTGTTTTACCGTACGGCTTTCACAGCGGGGAGTGTGTATAGCCGGAAGCAACCAAAAGAAATGGTGAAGAAAGGGATGTGTTTTGAGCTGGCACCGCCGGGAGGATAAGGAACTTACTCTGCCCTGTTGATCCTGCCTGCGTGCCTTCACACCCGAAACAGCTGCTGGAGGAAGATTTGAAATCTCCCTTCACAGAAATGAAGTTCACTTTTTACTTCCAGGTTAGAGAAGAGACAGGAATGGGAAAATGGGGAGAGAGTAGTGATCTGGTTTGCGCCTCTTTCTCCCCCCACCTCTTTTCATCCAACAGCTCAGTTGTTTGTCCCCTGTGCAGCTGGATTCTTGCCCGTGCTCTAAAGGGCTTGAAAGCCACAACTTTCTGAAGTCCATACGTTTTAAGATAGGCAGTACTTGACTATTCAGTAATGAAACTGTCCTGCTTCTCATGAAGTTCCTTAAGATTCATGAGGGATTCCAGACTGCCAACATCACTGAACCTTAAAAATACGCTCCAGTCCATACTCATCCAACTTTTTGAAGCAATAGCGCAGCATACTCTTGTGAGTCAAAAAAATTTTCTGTAAAAGAGCAACTGGTTATGTCTTTGCTAGTAACAAGAATAAATTTGCCACTACTAATACTATGATTATGTTTTTAAAATGGGTGTGAAAATTGCTTAGAATGAGAAGCATTCAATGAGAAGACCATTGAATCTTTTTTTTATTATTATTTTTCAGGTGCCAGGCTGTAAGGCTCATTAGTGTATTTTGTGCACTGCATGACAAATTTGAAAGGGGGTAAATTGTAGCAGAAAAGCAGAATCTGTTTTACTTGCATGTTTTGAACTAGATTTGTGTTGCCAGTAAGTGAAACTCAGTATGTACATCTATTGGGGACCCCTTTCCATTCTGATTTGTAGACAATGAGCTTACTGCTCATTTCAGCAAATGCATTTCCCCAGCCATCCTCTCCGATTTGTATCAAAGGCCAATGTTTGCTTCTAAGAACAGGACAAATAATAATTAACTAGTACTGAGTAAGACACTTTCAGAAAGGTTACAGAAACTCATTTTGTCCTCTGGGCTGTTAGAATCACAAGTATACCAAACATAGCTACAGGAGATTCTGAAGATAACTACAAGTGTTTTGATCAAGGATTTTGTGAGCAGGTTAATAACCATATCCTCTGGTTTCTCTCCTGTTTTAAAAGCAAGTACAGCCCTTCGTATGAAAACCGGCATAACTAACTTACCATGTGTGCTAGCACGAGAGCTCCAGACTGACTGAGATGAAATGGAATCCCATTTTACCGATTTCAAACCTAAATGCTTTATTTCATAGAATACTTGCGTTATCATCTTAGTGGCAAACACCCATAAAACCAGCAGCTGGTAAGCCTTGTATTTTCTCTACAATTGTTAAAGACCGTAAGCTTCATCTCAGTTTTTGTTCCCCTTCAGAAATGGCCTAAAAACAAACAAGCACTACATGCAGAAAATAAATTAGAAACCTCAAAACTGATACTCCCAGTCTCCTAATTAAATGCTTTTTTTATTTCCTAGGGGCTACTTTGCCAGCTCCCTCCTCAGCAAACGAGGTTTCCTATTACACTGTGAAATGCCTGTCGGGCTTGCCTCTGTGTACAGGGACAGCCCGAGTGCGTAATGGGGGTGTGGATTCTGCGCCAAACATTTAAAGGTCGGATACTGCAGATCACTTTTAGCAATATAGATACTTTATCATATTTGCTGCTGACAGAAATACACTTACCAAATGGGCAATCTGGGTAAGCTAGGTGTTCTTGCTGAAGGCTTGGTTCACCGTGTGCTATTTTTACCGTGACACAGGATTCCTGTACCTGTGGTTATCTGCTCTTCTGGAAATGAAGAGATGCAGTAGATTTTATAGTATTTTAATTTCATTTTTCCTTTGCATTCTGCTCCACTGTCCATTTCTCTAGCTATGCTGTACAAGTTGAAAATCACTTAATGTATGGAGTTACAGAAAACCACATTATGCATGTGGCTGTGGCTTGGCTAAAATTGACAAGAGGACACGCCTCCTACTGAAAGGAATAATTTAAATACAAGATGGGAATTACAGGTTACTACTTCTTCCTAGCTTGATCTGGGGAGTGCATTTGCCACTCCGATGATTGGCTATTAAGCCCTCATCAGCCTTACTTTAAATAATTTTAGTACTTCGCAGCTGCAGTCACCCAGGAGGAGCCAAAAGCAGCAGCACAGGTGTTTGGCTGAGCGGAGGTCAGCCTCTCTACTTTGGCCAAGAACACCCAAGGCTAATCACTGATAAAATTATTTGTAGACTGTTTGGGCTGAAAATCCTGAAATTAAGTATATAGTGAGTCAAGTTCTTGTATTTTGCCTCTTGCTTTCTTCATTAGTACATACCCTCACACAAAGATGTGTGCACATAGCAGAAGTGTTCTTACTGAAGGTTTCTGTAGCACAGAGTCAGACTTTGACTAGAGCCACTGTGTGCCAAGTCAAAACAGAGAAATAAGACGGCTGGCAACTAACAAATAAAAGAAAAAATCTTCCATCCTCTTTCCTTCTGAAGTCCATGTTACTGGCTTATTTGCTTACAGAACTGGAAGGTGATAGTAAAAACCAGTGATCAAGAGCACCCATTCCTAGCTGAGAAAGAAGGAAATCTTCCTTATTCCATCCTAGTCTCCTCTGCACTTTCCATCGTTCACTGACCCACTGATCGTACCTGTGGGCAGAGGAAACTAACTGGAGGACTGTCACAGCTTTGCCCAAGATTAGACACATGAGCTATCATTACAAGAAGGAGAACATATTAGTAAGTTTCAATCTACCATTTTTAAAAATTAGGCCTTTTAATTCCCTTCAAGTGGTTGGTTGCCTCCAGCAACTTTTGTCTGAAGATGTGTGGTAGCTATGTATTGGCTACTGTCTCTTTCTATTCAGGGATAGATGTACTAAGAATTGGAGTTTAATTAGCTTTATTTTAGTTGATTCTGGACTCAATCTTTAATGCTGTTTCTCAATTTGAAAAATGTAAAACTGCCATACACAGAAAAGACAAGCTGTGCTTTTCAAGATCTGGCTTCTAACCTTCTCCAATATGCAGAAGTCAAGTTTGTAGCAATCTAGAGATGCATTTTCAACACAAGCACAAAACTACCTTTCCTGTGCTGCCAGTAGTTTTGCTATGAAGAACAGATAAACAGCAATATACTCCTTGACATCCATGTTCTTTGTTACAGGGTCAAGTTTGGTAACTTACGCTCTTTTATTTCAACATTTCTGCTGTTAAAACAAGGCTGTGTGTGATACTTCTGCCTGCTGTAAAAGTCAGGGGAGTTGATGAGCTCTTCAGATTTGAGACGTGAGAAGCCTGTGTGAGCATTAAGCCTGCAACTCATCATTTTTCAGTAGAAAGATATACTCCTACAGTGTTGTATTTGAGAGACAGCCTGTCAAGCATGCAAGAACTTCAAGATACCCCTCAGAGCCATTCCTCCCTTTTGGCAAACACAGGAAGCTGTTTTATGACAGTTTAAAGCTCTTTAAAGTTCCTCCAGTGAAGTTCAATTAAACTGGAGACATATCTAAGATTGTTACTGATAAAATGTAGTTTTATTAAATTATAAATTCCGTAACAAAAACGAGACAGATCAAGAAAGACCTCAAAAACAAAACTACAAGGACTAGATGGCAAAGCCACAGAAAATGCCATGAAGAGCATATAGGTAAGAATTTGCAACAGAAGTTAACAGCATTTTTACATTTCCTTTGAAGGAAGGTAAATGATTGCTCTTGTCTAATAAAAACACATTTTTAACTCCAAACTCACATCTATTTTCTCACATTAAATTAAGCATCCTGCTCACACCCAACATCTTGCCTGCTCCCACATTGCTTTAGTGTTCTTTTCATACATCAATCCATGCAGAAAGTAGTAAGACACTTATGCAACAGTCAGATAATGAAGACAATTCAAGTTGTACAGTAGATATACATTGGCCAAAAAGGGTTCGAGTATCTCCCAGGGGAAAATGCTACAAAATAAACACAAGACATTTTCAAGAAAACTGGGTATTGCTAAGCAGCTTTCAAACCATTAACAGGACAACCCAGTTTCCTACAGTTAGAGTCTTCCAGCTGAGACATGTTAAAAGACTTAAGTTAAACAGGCCAAATCTGTTTCTCCCCTTCACCCCATCCTCCCACCAAACACACTGCTAGGTTTGAGTGCAATGCCAATGTGGACAGAAAATTTACAGATACAGGATCTAGTTTTTAATCACATGGCTCTAGATTTAAACTTCAGTGACAGTGCACTGTCCATCTGGCCTTCTAGATCTTACACTTACCACCCCACCCCCTGCCACTGGTCTATCTGCTCCTGGCTGGTTTGCACCGGCATTCAAGTGTCTCTGCTGGACAGAGGATGGGTGTTGCTGAAGGTGGGCAGACACATCCTCACTATCGCTGCTAGCATCTGATTCGGTCTCCTCAACAGAGGTGTCAGGGGCTGGCACCCTACCAGAAGATGATGACTCGTGGTCTTCTTCTCCCTCTCCCCTATGACTCCTTTCAGCCATACTGTCTCCATTTATTTGCAAGTGGGCAAAAGAGTTCTCTAGGGAATTGCTTGCATCTGGTGATGGCGTTGAAGGACTCATCAGCTGACCATCTAGGGACGGCAGGGGCCTAGCAGAAATGGGTGCTAGAGACTGCACAGCTGCAGCCCCTGGAGTCGGTGTGCTGTCTGCACCATCAGCAGAGCTCTCTCTTGCCAGGTTGACGGTGTTAGCATCGCAGTCCAACCTCAGCCCAGCCACTCCCTTCTTTGGTATATCTATGATGTCCCGTTTTATTTTTCTGCGTCGTCCGTGTTCATTTCTCCTATACTGAACCATATTTTCAAGATCTGCTACGTATAAAAAACCAGCGATTAGCATTTCAGTGCTCTTTTTACCCTTGGAAAAGGCATCTTCCAGCTCTCTGCTGGTACGTTCATCATACTGCCACCAACCATTTCTACCTTCATAGTACCAAGCATACTCTCCATTGCCTCTGCTTGCGGCTTTGAGTTCTTCTGGTGACAATAAGGTTGGCTTGTCAAGAAAATCCTCTGGAATCTCCTGCCGGCAGAGTGCACATCGTTTCCCAAGCCAAGAAGCTCCCTTCACACACAGATAGCAGAAAACATGTTTGCAAGGCAGACTTACGGGATGGACACATGTTTGCAGACAGATAGCACATTCGGGGACTGTCAGGGAAGGTGCTGCATTAGCACACGACTCATTTGTCTTCCTATTTGTGGGAAGCATGTTGATCGAATGATCTATTTCGCCACAGCCAGCCATCCTGCAGAGGATCAAAGATAGATTTAAATCAGTTTATTGTGTGAACCTAAACTGGCACCTTATATCACCTGTGACCTCAACAGCCACGGAATGAGACGCTTACCTTAAAGTAAGGTAAATTATCATTTATTAAGCTGAACTCAAAGAAACTGACAGGTTAATATTCTGTTCCTGAGCTGACAGACTAAATCGAGTACTGGGAGAATTTCTTTTGCTCATCACCAATCTGTATCAGTTTCACTTTCAGCGTGTTAACATGCCAAGTTAGAAAACAAATTTTGAAATTTCCTCTGTTCTTTCTCTGAAGTAGTGTTGATTAATGAGCCTCCAGTCAACCAGTTGCTTTGGAGCCGCCTCAGGAAATCTAAAGAAGCTACCATTCTTTCCTCAAGAGGTGATCTAGCTGCAAACATTGAACTTAACTTAAAACAATCTCTCTTCACAGGGCTGGTGACCATCTGTTTGATTAAGGGATTGCCTGAACAGTACCTCAGAGTAGGTTTCCACAGTAGAAAATGCGCCTTGCAGCAGCACCCAGATGAAGTATTACCCCACTTTGTTTCTTAGTCCCCGGGCACCACGGTATACTATCCCTTAAACTGGTCTCAGGACAACCACAGGGCTGCAGAAGGAACCAAATTTGAAAGCTGAGGTGGCTTTTTCAAAAGATAGATACCCTGGATTTCTTTTTCCTAAACATCAAGTGAACTCCCTGATACAGCTGAGTGCATCTCAAAAGGAATCACTGCAGCCCAGCAGAAGCAGCAGTGTATCACAGAAGATATGTGATTGGTCTGTGAAGTCATTGCCTCTACCTTCTCTCGTCATATCTTATTTCTGTCATTAAAGATGATTTTTGTAACCAACTGTAAGAGAGCAAGGAGTGCAAAACTGTGTCACTTTGGTACTGTGTAGGATTTCAGTAGTTGAAAAATTCTAGCCTAGATATGGAAATGCCTTCTCAACTACATTTTTTTGCCACAGCAATCTTTCACAGTCTGTTTCATGGTAATTCTCCTGTTATGTTCTTATTTATTAGCAATGAAAACCAAACACCAGATATAAATGAAGGAGAAGAACGGGCTTTGGGGGATAGGGCCTAAAAAAATGCCTTCCCTCCCCGCCATTTAAATGCCCAAAGAACTTTGAGACATAGGGCCAATATATTCAGCAAAACAGCCCTTCAGTGAAACTGGTCTTTGCTGTACAAGCAGCAAGGAATAGTTCATGCAAAATTATCACAGACACGTGGGTCCTTTAGGGGTCATGTAGTCCAGTCTCCTGCTCCACATGGCACTACCACAGATACTAGATCGATCAGCTATGTCTTTGCCAAGCTGAGTTTTTTTGAAACCTGCAAGGATGGAGATACCACAACCTCCCTGGACAGCCTGTTCTAGTGTTATACACATTTCTAGCAAGATGTGTTACCTCAAGAGAAAATGCCTACTGTTACTGTAAAAGCCTCCACTGCTTTGAACATTTTATGAATACATGCTGGGATTAAAAAAAAAGATTTCTTATAAATACAGATTGTGAAGCATAATGTATTAAGTGCTATTTATTTAAAAATTTATTTTTGTATGCTCTCTGTTCCCTTCCATCACTATAATTTCCTTTTTAAAAAGACTGATGCCTCTTTAATCCATTTTTTATCAAATCATTCTTTTAAAAGCTTTCTATCTCAAATATCTTTCCTGAAGTAACACATAATTGTATCCATCTATGTTTCAGTTTCATATCTGAATTTCTTTCCCTGAGATTAAAGAAAAATCTGCATACTAGTTCTTGGAGTACTGTGTCCAGCTATGGAGCCCTCAGCACAGGAAAGACATGGACCTGTTGGAGTGGGTCAAGAGGAGGGCCACAAAAATGATCAGAGGGATGGAACACCTCTCCTGTGAGGTCAGACTGAGAGAGTTGGGGTTGTTCAGCCTGGAGAAGAAAAGGCTCTGGGGACACCTTACTGTGGCCTTCCAGTACTTAAAGGGGGCTTATAAGAAAGATGGGGACAGACTTTTTAGCAGGGCCTGTTGCAATAGGACAAGGGGTAATGGTTTTGAACTAAAAGAGGGAAGACTTAGACTAGATCTAAGGAGGAAATTTTTCATAACGAGGGTGGTGAAACACTGGCACAGGTTGCCCAGAGAGGTGGTAGATGCCCCGTCCCTGGAAACATTCCAGGTCAGGCTGGACGGGGGTCTGAGCAACCTGATCTAGTTGAAGCTGTCCCTGCTCGTTGCCGAGGGGCTGGACCAGATGGCCTTTAAAGGTCCCTTCCAACCCAAACTGTTCTATGATTCTCTGATTTCAGAATACCCACGAATACAACCCAAACAGTATCTTGCAACAGAACTGAAAGAGAAATCCATGTATTGATTAATTTGTGCTAACCACAGCTCAAGTTCTCCCATAAGGACATACTACTGTGCAAAAAGGCACAGCATCAGAGATTTTTACTTCCACGCTACAGTTTTACAAAAGGCTGCTTCTCCCTGAATACATCTTAAAAGGTTATCCTTTTCAGAGTCAAAGAAAAGATTAAAACAACCTGTAGATAACTAACTTCTATAGAAGTTGTGTATCATAATTAAGATTTTGGAGACTACTGTGATTAAAAATGAAATGCATTTTGACAAATCAAATTCTGATACCATCAGCTAACTTATTAGTAAACTAAAGGCAGAATGAACATACTCACCTGTTCACTGAAAGCACAAAAATGCTAACATTTGAACTGTGCTGAATAGGTCACCCATTAATTTGAGGGTTCTTTGACTCCTTACTAGATTGAGACAATAATGCAGGATATGAAAAGGAGTAAATGCCTTATCTTGAAATTCCTATGTGATTTTTAATGATTCAGAGGAAAATGTTATGTGTGAAATGAATACAGCTGGAGGAATAAACCCTTATCTCTAAGCAAGCACTACTCAGCAACATAAAACTCTTAAAAGATAAGCACAACTGCGGTTGCATGTGCTCAGAATGCAGGACAATTATGCACTTAAAGATTCATATCAACTAAACTGATGCTGTCTCACTTTTTCTTTTTAAAGGAAGATCGTAATTAAAAAGGTAAACAAAAAAGGATTAAATATCAAATCTAGGTCACAGAGTTTGTTTATAAGCTGGTATGAGGATGCACATGTAGATTTTAATTGGAGAGGTAATCCTTCAGAATGGAGGAAAAACATCTAGGACTGCTATTCCGCTATGTTATGGCTGTGGAAGCACTTTCATTGCAACTTCAAGGTATTAAGAACTAAACAAAACTGACCACAGAATATTTTTCCTGAAATTAAGAATAATATACTATTACAAGGTTTAATCAAAACAGGCTTCATATCAGAACTATTATCAAGCAGTAAAGCTCTGGTTTTTGGAGGGTTGGGTTTGCTTAAGTCACTTCTGGCAACAGGGAAAATTACATTACTGAATAGTGAGGCTAACAATGAATGCAACTCAAGGACAAGTTCTAAAAATAAAATTATTTTAAGTATTTAGATCCTCATGTATTCAGGAATAAATAAGGGAACAAAGAGCATCTGAACACTGTATTTTAACATAAATACAGCCTAAAGCCAACTGAGAAGGAGCTAGTCCACAATCTTGCCAGATCCCACCTCTCTATTACCCTTTTGTGGTTTGTTTGGGTTTTTCTAATATTAAAACATATATTTAATTTGTAAGCTTAGGGTGCACAGCCCAGAGTGCTTTCATCAACACACAAAGTATGGAAGAGGTCATGTATAAAAACTGTATGAAAAGACCCCGGGCCTTCTAGGACTCTACTAGAAGAAAAAGTAAATTCCCACAAAACCACCTCAAAACTGAGTAATTTTTCAAACTCCAGGTCAAACTCTAATTACAACTAAGCAGCCTGTCAAGGAAGTGACATATATAAGTCCATTAACAAAACAACAGCTTACTTTTTCTGAATAATTGCTACTGAAGCATGCCACAAGACTAAAATGTCCTCTCTTCAGATGTCTCCAGCTAGGATGGCAGGTCTTCTTTCCCAAGGCTGGCTCATTCCTTACTTGTCTTGCCCAATGGCACACTACGGTGTTTCAGCTTCTCTGCAAACTAGTGGGAAGCAAATAATATCACCATTACAATGTTTTAGAGAGGTATGAGAAAGCAAAGAGTCCAGAAAAGAAATTACTATGCTTTCATTTGCCTGATGCAGGCTATTTTCAATAAAAATATCATCGGACTGCTGTTTTGTTTTTTGCAATAATCAATTTTTGCCCACCATTTTGATGTCAATTACTTTGATGTCTGATTTAAGCAAATTATCTTTTTCTAAAGTATTATAAAAGGCAACTATCTTTACCTATAATAAGTTAATGGCTCGTTAACGTAAAGTGACCATGTACACAAAAGGAGGAACAAGACCAAAGTTAAGAGCATGTTATATTTATGCAAATTTAACCTCTAATAAATGACGCCGTATATTCAGAGAGTTTAATAAGTCACGATGGTTTCCTAAAGCTGTTTATAAAACTATCCATATCTCATCATTCCAAAGGACTGTATCTTGTCTCTTAACACGGGCTACTATCAGATGCCTGAAGCGAAAACAGTGCATGTGAACAGCTGATTTCCCCTAGGTCCTCTCCATAGTTCAAGTAGCCTGTAGCTCAGAGCCTTGCATCCTTGTCCTTTTTTTAAGAGATGACATGCATTCATTCCATGAATGAACCTTGGAGCCCCTCAGCACTTTATAAAGAAATAAAGGAAGATCCTAATTAATCCTTTTTTTTGTTTACCTTGTTAAGTGTCAAATCTAGGTCATAGAGTTTGCTTGTAAGCTAGTATGAGGACAATGTGCTGAAGGGTTCTGAGGTTCATGCATGCATGCGATTTCTGAAAAAGTGGACAAGGATGCAACTCAGCCTCCACACCTCTGAGGTATTACACCCCTCTCCAGGCTAGCAGGTAATGTCAGTCACAATACATTTTGCGTGTATCATCAACCAGAATCTGAGCTAAGTCATTTCACAAATACATAATAATCACTGGAAACCAGTAAGTGTCTAACAAATACCTAAATAACTCTCGAGTAGGGAAGCAGAAATCTGCAAACTCAGAGAGGGCAAGGGGACCATCAAGATTTCACTGTCACATTCTCATACCCTGAACAGGAAGGTCTTGATCTAAAAGAGCCACCCTTTGTTAGAGAAAGTATTTAGGAATCCTCTGTAAGAAGACTGATGAGCCATAGAGTTATAACTTCCCTCTGGGCTGTAGCTTTCAAGATGATTCTTAAGAGCTTTGAACTACAATTTCCGGCTGCTGCAAAACGATACATATAGGAATGATCTGAAGCAGACCTGAGAATGTCACACCTTAGATTTCAATTTGCTCAAGGAAAGAATAATTTCAGTATAAATACAGTGCAGATCAGACATGTACAGAGTCAAGCAAAGTGAAGTCCCTGAAAGAACATGGAGCATTTAGTATTACAGTACTCTGTGTTACAGTCCTTCATTAAAAGATTGAACATTTATCATTAATAACATCAGAGTGAAATGATCAGATGACTTCAGGATAAGACACATTACTCAAATATGTTATTTTCTTTATAGCTGAGCGCCATGTAACATTCCATGCAGCTATTTTTAGAAAGAGCTCCAAAGGAAAATTGCAAAAATTAACAAGCCTATCCACACCTTTTCTCCCCTCATCATTCTAGCAGCTTCCCCTTTCTTCACACATCAATCTGAAACCAAGAGCGGCAATCGCATTAAAATTTTGACTCTACTAATCCACTCAGACAAGATACTATGTTTGCTATGATCAAAGAGACAGCTGCAACCAGCTTGATGCCGTGGGTGTGGTGTTCAGTCCTTCATTTTAGGAGCTGGCTTTCTGTTACTTCTCTAGGTATCACCTGAAGCCTTTTTTAATCTACTACCTCTCACAATCTACTGTTAGAGGCAGCACATCATAAAACCAAATGTTATGTGGAGATGGGAGAAAAGGGTTGGGTCAGTTCTAGCAGATTTCTTCGGAAATAAAAATGCATGCACATATCCAGGGTATGTAATTATGCCTAGAAGAATCCAATTAGGGCGTAACTATAGAATTACAGTAAGGCAACTTTCTAATTGCTGCATAGCTCTGAAGAAGAACTAGCTCACAAACTGACTTCAGGTAACCTCTACATTTCATGACATTGTTATTTATTTAATAAGCCAGTCTTGAAAATTTTACTAAACGGGATAAAAGGCACTTGTGGTTACACAGATGCCCTTTCCTGGACGAGAACTCCTCCTTTAAAGTCAAGTGGGTAAGAGCTGTGTTCTATACTTGGCAATTAATTTTCTATGCTAGGAAAACAGTAGTATGAGGAGTTAACGCTATCTGCGGCAACCTGCAAGTACCCCTTCCTTGTGCACACCCACTAAATCCATGCATCCTATCACACACTGATTTTGAAACTTTAAGTCAAGATGCAACAGATGATGGACAAACCCACTGATCAGGGGCAAGAATTTAAATTGGGCAACATCCCCCCCCCTCCCCTGCCCCGAGGCTCAGCCAGCATTTACCTGCTCTCTTTGTCCCCTTGGAAGTCTTTCCGGATGCTTGCTGGGAGAGGTTACCGTCGTCTTCTTCCACAAAACTTTAAGATGTTGAAGTGGTGGACTTCCTACCAGACCTATCTCCCAAAAATGATATTAGGTTCTCCTTTAAGAAAAATTTCAAGCTTTTACTAGACCAAGGTGGAATGAAATAATTTCTTCTTGTTATCCTCTCAACTGTGCCCGTTGGATTCCTAGTAACCTATCAGATCCAACAATTTTTTCCACTTTCCTATTTCTTTGGAAAAAACAGTGACAATAAAAAAAATCCCAGAAACTTACATATTTAAGAAGCCAGCTCCTAAATGACAATGAAGTCTTAAGAAGTCTTTTCCGTAAGTAAAAGCTTAGCTCTTCAAAAACAAACAAGCATAAACCATTGGTAAATTCAACTAACACCAGCTTCTAACCAAACCAGACAAAGACTACTATTCGACTCCTACCTCAAATGACAGATAAGCTCACAAATTCTGCAACTCTGTACAGAATACTCTAAAATAGCTATCACAAATTCGTCATTTCCTCCTCCCTCATAGGTTGAAAACTCAACAGCTACAGCTTTATTTCAAAAGAGTAAATGCTCTTCTGTAATTAAATACTTGAATTTTTCCATCAAGCTCCCTAACTTGTAACTCAATTATTGGGGAGGCAGGAGGGGAAAAAGAAGTCCAGATTTCTGCCCTTCCCTACCACAAGCCAAACGCTCTGGGAAGAAGGAGGAAGGTGACTTTTTTTAAATAGGAAAAATCACTTTCCTGTCTGAAGGTCTGCTACTGTCAATATAGTATAAGCTCAAGGTACTGAGCCTATCAGGTATTTTTTAAACTACCCTTGGGCACTGGATAGCCAACAGATAAATAACCTTGCTGTTTCCTGTTCTTACCTACTTTTCTGTATCTGTTTCTTAAAATTGGAACGTCTTCAGGAATTGGGGATTGTGATGAGGCTGCAAGTTGCCTGTCATTCCTTATCCTTTGCTATTACACATCAATCAAAAAACCCAACCCTTATATGTACGTTTGGAATGGAATCACTGAAGAATATTCAAGTGCAGAACTGTCAACCATTTCAGTATTGACTGCCGCATATTCCGTCAAAATGAGGTTCTTCTCCTATGCTACAACTGGGGCATTAAACTTGAATTCTGAGCATAGATCCTATTTAAATTTATTTAACAGAGCAATATATTAGTTTCTCACACAAATAAAATGATATTGTGTGGAAAACAAAGAAGAAATGGGTTCATGTGAAGTTATCAATGCTCCAGAAACACAAAGTAAGTACAGGAACATCTCTTTATATATATATAGACTCGATTAACATGCACAGAAGAGAGGAAAAAAAAAAAAAATCCATTTCAGCAGAAAGACTTTTCCCCCACCAATTTCAGGAGTCCACTGTTCAACAGCCTTTAAAAATACTGCAATTCCAGCTCTCTAAATCAACGACAAATCAATTACATCTAAATTGATGCAGCATATTTTGAAGGAAACAAGAACAGAGCTTTTCTTTCACTCAGTACACATTCTGCATTATAGCAAGTTAAACAACTGGTACTGTGATTCACTTGGAAAGAAACCACAGTATTAACCACACAAGACTATAAAGCAAGTTCTTGCAAACACTCAGGATTTACTCGAAGTGACCAAATCAATATTAAGTTTTCACTTTATCTTCAATACTATTACAAAATGTAATTTTCGGTAGTGCATTTTTGAGACACTTTAAGAACTATTTTTAAGTAGCCCACTGTCCGGAGGCAGCAGTTAATGAAGCAGCAGGATTGTATTTTTAGTATTACAAATTGGACAAAAGCCAAACGTTTTAAAGCCCTGCTCCCTACTCCTCCTTGTAATTTTTCAACGTGTACCTGCATACTACACCACTAGTAACAGAACCTACAGTACTTCTAGTTCGTATCACAGGAAAGTTATCCTAAGATTTAAAACCCCACACTTTGACTTGGCTTTTTAACTATTTCACCATTCCGATTCTCTTGTTTGTATGAAAAACTCGCATTTACTAAACGTCTCATAATAATTTTTCAGTGGTGACAGTATGTATTGCACCAAAAGCCAGACCTATTTTCACGTCCCATTTCAACATCTTGAGCCGAGGCCATCGGGCACGAAGAAACAAAAGCACTTCCATTAAAAACACCAGTTACTTCTTGGTGCAGGCTTTGTACTGTGCTCCTATGACGTCCCGTAGGACTGCCGTTCGAGGTTCACGTAGTAAACATGACAGTAATCACAGCCAGCCAGCTACGGCAATGACATCTTGAAAGGCGAGGGACAACACGCAGCACGGAATCATTTAAAGCGCTGCACATCGGTCTAAGAGCTAACGCGCTGGCCAGGGGATTCTGCCACGCGTGACGACGCCACGGCTAATGCTCCTGACCTATTTTACTACCGAACAAAACGAAACCAGGAAAGCAGGGTCGCGGCGCGGCACACAGCGCGCGCGCGTCATTCCACCGAGGCGCCGGGATGCCGC